CCCTGCTGAGTATAGCCATACCTATATGCAAACTCTATTTATTTATTTGTTATGCCTCATCAGGATCTAGGTAGTTATAGCTCACCACAGCTTCCTTTTCTTTAATATATATAAATTGTCACAATTTTTTTAAAAAAATAATGGAGTGGTTTCCTGTTGTTTTCTTCATGATTTTTAATTCAGAGTTGTCTTACACCTAAACTGGTTGCCTTACCAAAGCTAAGAAAGCCCAGTTTGCCCTACTATTTACTCATAGCTGGTAAGAGGAGAGATAACTTCATGCTTTTCCCAAAGGCATTAGTATAAAATGAACACAACATCTTCAGTCAAACTCTATGCAACTTAAAAAACAAACAAAGCAGTTACCTGTGCCAAAGGACACATGAAGCAAACTCATTTGTCTCCATTTCTCAAACAATCCATGGAGACCCAGTCATCATTTGCAACAATTGTAATTTTTCTGGTGCCAGAGTGGGACCTTAACATATAAAATGGACTACTTTTAGAGCTGAAGTGATGGGCCTATCTTGTTAGTTTACTGATAGCTGTGGCTTCATGCTTTCCCCAAGGGCAATAGTACAAAGTGAACAAAAACTCTCCCAGCTAGAGTTCACAGAGTCTAGCCTCAAAGCCATTAATTAAGTCAGCTGTACTTCAAAGCAACTTAAACATTATGCATAAAAAGATAAACATTTTCAAATAATTATAAAGTTTTCACTCCAAGCAATAAACAGCATTTAAAATAGTGATACCATAATTAGAAAATTCTCAAGCTGAACAAGTCACAGATCATTATCTTAAAAAAAAAGAAAATTATTAAAATTAATGATTTTTAAAACATTTTTCTATAATCAATACCTTTTGTATCATTACCAATGTTTAACAAGTTCTTGTCTGAAACTTGTGTTCCAATGTAATGAATTTTTTAAGTCAAATACACAGTTCTATGTTCAAATGTCTGGTCGAGTGCAGGTTATAAGAATAACCTCAATGTTTTGTTTTTTTTTTATTAGAAAAAAAATCAATAGCAGTTTATTTCATTTGCTCCAGCAAAGTTGCACACACATGTAAAATTTAACAGTTGTAATCTTCATGCTGTTGATCATACAAAATGGTACTGGAAAGTTCCAGGGCTGTATGTACTATGATTATACTATTCAATAGAAATGTCTGCAGTTAATGCTCATTGGTACCCAGCCTAATGAGTCAGTCTGTCAACAGGCTTTGTGCTATCTACTTGTGTTCAATTATTATGCAAAGTTTTCTAATGTGAATAGATCTGCAATGTTTACAATGATTAACAAATTACAAAGTAATATACCTGCATCAAATTTTGTGTGAAATTCAGCTACTGAAAACCTTTAAAAGGCTCATCAGGCTTTTGACAAACTTACTTTAGGTTACATTTCAAGGTCAAATGAATGTCAGCTGGAGATGAGCGTTCAGGGTAAGCAATCACCAAAAATAGTATCTCCCTTGCAATATTCTCCCAAATTAAAATGAAGCTGAATAAGGAGCTGTTTCAAGAATAGAGATGAAATTCAAATGAAACTGCAGCTGATATTAGACAGTCTTCAGGAAGAAGACTTTCACAGTGCTTTTGAGGCATAAAAGAGACCCTGGAATCACCACTACATTTTTAATGGTATGATTTGAAATGGGAGAGTGGCCAAATTTAAAGAGTCTATGAGATACATTGTTTACTGGAATAATGGTACTCATTTTTAGGCTATACCAGTAACATTCAGATAGCATACTTATTTCGAAATTTCAAAGCAGCAGCAATATTTATATGTGTAATTAAGTGCATTTGTATAAGTGGATATTGAAATGAATACACAAAGGCAACAGCCTGTTTCCTGCTAAATGCAATGAAACAGACTGTCACCTCTGGGTTTTGACTTCAATGTCCACTTTCATATTTACATAGGCTCTATCCCTGGAATTGAGCACTTTAATTCAAAAATATAGCATGCCTTAAAACCATGCATATATAATATGTAAATAATATATATAAAAATTGTGTATAAATATATAAGGATATAGAATCTGAACAAAAGTGGTGAAAGGAGACAAAGTGGGAATGCTTTTTATTTTTATCAAAGATTGGCAGCTTTAATACAAAGATAAATATGTTTTTTCATCCCAACCAGAAGACACCTACCTAGGAAACAGGCATTAATGGTTTTAATGCAAAAGACATACAGGTTTGTCTTTTATTCTGACCTGAAGATGTCTACCTAGCTACCTAAAGAAGGCAATCGTCTATATATATATATATATATATATATATATATACTTGAAGGCATGAAACCATCTTCTTCCACCTATGAGTTCAATATCAGGGTAGACTGGATTCGCTTGCCTTGGATGGCAGCCAGTCAGGAAAAAAGAAAATTCTCAATTCTAAAGAGAGCTGTTTGGAAATTTTGTGATACACTACTTATTATCAGTTCTCCACAAATCTTCATCACTATAATCAAATCATTTTTATTGGTCCTCTTGTGATACAGTTCTAAAACATTCACCATATATATATATATATATATATATATATATATATATATAGTCATCCACAGACAAACTGTTTCACTGTATCAGAGCTCATCAGTGTGGCTAGACATCTGATTGATTCAGGTCGGGATGGAAACCCGACCAATTTGGTATCAGTCAAAGATTCTAACCCCTAGGCCATCAGTGCCTGGAAGAAAGAAAGGTGAATTTTTGCATATTTATTTTTTCGTAAACACACAAGTCACACTGAGAATTCAATAAGCTAGGAGAGTCTTGCATTATCAGCAGTAATAGTGACTATTTACAAATTCATTCCTTATTCCCCGAGGGCTATAACATGAAGGGAGAGTTCTCTTTTAATCAGATATTACCAAAAACGAAAGACAAGCAATTTCTAAAAATCCATTATCTAGAATGATTTTCTGAATATCACTCCTTAGAAGTATGATTGTTTTTGCTGACATCAAGTGTTTCAAAGGTTGGAATATTCTAAAATAATACTTATTACAAAGAGGCTAAATAACTAGAATATTAGAAGCCATATCAGGTGATCAAATACTATTGGTTACACATTAATCCACTGAAACCAAGTCTAATTACCAAAATCAATTACACAGCCTAACATGTAATTAGAATACATGTTCATATGAGCAATTCTTTACTAACAATTTGCTACTCTTCCTGCTGATTTGTTCTGATTCACAGGCAGTTCTGAGATAGTAAAACTTACCCAAAATATCTAATGATAGCATTTAGGCCAGTGGTCGGGTCTCAAGGTTCAGTGGATTAATTTAAATAGAAATTTTATCAAATACAAAAACCAAGAAATAAAAAAAGGTAGCTGCTGGAGAAATATATAATAATTTAATATATTTTTGCATATGTATGAAGATGGATTGAAATACTGGTCATGTTTTGTCAGATGTAGGTATTGCCTCTATTACCTTTGTGTAAATGGAGGAGTCTTGCTTGTTGAAGCCTATGAATTCAGTTTTAAAGGCATTGACATAGAGTCCAACACCATTGGGAGCATTTTCTAGATGATGTAAGAGTACGGTGGCATTGGTAATGGTGTCTGCAGTGATAGCTAGGTCATCTGCATAGTCAATATCGGCCAACTTTTTTGCAGGATATCAACTTGAGAGTCTTCATGAGGTAAATCAATAAAATCTGTTGAATCTTTTACACGCCTCGGAAGTGAGATAAATTCTACTGAAAAGGATGTGCATAGCTAAAGCCTGGGTCACCTTGAATAAAATAGATGTCATCTGGAAATCTGATCTACAAGACAACCTCAAGTAGAAATTCTTTCAAGCTACTGTAGAGGCAATGAAATATATGGTGCTACTGCCTGGACATTAATTAAAATGCTAGAATTTAATCTTGATAGAACCTACACCTGGATGCTGAGAGCTATACTTAACAACTCCTGAATATAACATCTAATTAAGTCAAAGTTCTATGGACCCATCCCTAATATTTCTACAATCTTACACAAACACAGAATGCACTTTGCAGGACACTGCTGGTGAGCAAACCAAGAACTCGTGAGTGATCAACTGTTCTGGATAACTAGCCATGGAGCAAGACACTTACAGTGACCAGCTACGTTATAACACAGAATACCTCCCTAATACCCTTCTGACTTTGATGCAGGACTGTGATGGTTGATGTGATAGGTTCACTCAACTGAATAAATAAAATTGAGGATCTACTTGCTCATAGGACTAACTTACCAAAAAGAATTGCACAGCCTAACACAAATAGAATACATATTTATATGAGCAATTTTGGACTGGCCGTTTGCTGCTCTTCTGTAATGATATGTTTCAGGCATATCTTGATACTAACAATAAGTAGTTACTTTTTTCATTATAATAACTATTTTATTTGTTCATTCTGGCAAAGATACCTTTATAGATATCTATATTTTATACTAATGTAAATCCATACATCTCAAATAAATTAACAAGCATGTGTTTCCAAAAATCACACAGTCCCATATATATAGTGTGTCCTATAACTCATTAGGGCTGTAGAGGCACCACATTTACTGTGGCCATAGCAGTGGTGGTGTATCTAGGGCAAGATAGCCTGATAGAACTCAACCCTCTTTAGGCTGGTTTTGAATTCAGTTTTCCTTCAAGATTGGTTTCTGCCTTGAGGCAAGAGAGCCCAGTCTGCCTTGCTATTTAACCCATAGCTGGAAAATGGATTCATGCCTTTTCCAAGGGCATTAGTAAAAAGTGAACAAAACAGAATCAAGCCAGAATTGAACTAGGCACACTTAATTCATTTTTTAAAATGATATTCATTACACCATCCATGCATCCACATTTGCATATTAATAACAAGCAAGATAGAGATAGCAATAAGAATGTAAAAGGTTCAATATGATGAACTACTGAAATTAAAATCAAATGCAATGGCACATAAGGTAATTTTAGGAAAATAGGAAAATAGTATAATAAATGCATGCAACTTACCTTAACTTCAGGATGATCTGGTGCAACTCCATAACGAATCAACCCAAAAGGTACTGGTAGTCGTTCGTAGATATCAACTTTGAGTTTTGGATCCCCCTGCAAAAAACATGAGCGTAAGAAGTGAAATGGTAACTGTAACTAAATATTTTCCAACTAAAGCAAAGTTATTTTTCTAAATAAAAATATGTGAATGTATAAATGGCTATTTGAATAAAATCTACATACAAGGAATTTTTTTTTACTTTCTGTTTCTATTTGAGTGAATGTAGGTCAATATTTAGGATATGCAAGAATTGATGACATTTTGATCAACTGAGTTCTACTTGTTGATTTAGCTATCAACATACAAGATTTTAACAGTTGTGATTGTAGGTGATTTTTTTTTTTTTATTGACACTTTTTGATTTCCATATTATAACATCTGGACATTAGACTGTCATTTTGCAAGTGAAATTCTGGGCCAAATTTATTATTCAGTTGTTTGGTTTGGTTTGTTTTTTTTATGACATAATTTTGGCGTAATACATATATATATATATATATATATATTACTTCAAACATTATTTTTAGTGGATACCCATATTTGAGTAGATACTCTGTTTATTTTAAACAATATTTATTTTGTCTACCAGCATGCATAATCAAAAAAACTTAATAGGAAAATAATTGAAACATGCATCCTCCTTTGCAGAAGGAACTAGCTTGTCTGACCGGTGTGCTTTTACCATTCAGCTATGATCTTCAAAAATTTAAATGCAATGTTAATCCTCATATATAATAATTCCTGTTCTTTTCTGGATTTCTCTCCATAACGATGTTTTCTTTTTGTATATATTTTCTTCAATCACTGAGTAACTCCTTGTATCTTAGTGGCATTATTACTTTGTTTAAGGTGAAATGACACACACACTATATATATATATATATATATATAAATAAAAAGAAAGAACAGTAAGATATAAAATCCGGTGTTCTTATAGATATTTTATTTTTACAAAATAGTGCTCAATGTAAATTTACAGAGCATTAATATTATAAATTAATTGATTTAAAATAGAAACGTGATGTTAGCTGTGTCTTTAAAACCCGGTAATTTTTAAAAAGTTACTCCAAAATTCACTTGAAGATGAAATGGAACTAATGCTTTTAATTTAATTGCAAAAATAAAATTAGGGGTTTTTAGCTTCTATTTTTGAAACATGGTTGGAACTGTGTAGCGAAAATAACCATATTTTAAATCAATTAATTTATAATATATATATATATATATATATTAAAATAATAAGAAAAAGCAGTAAGATATATAATCCGGTTTTCTTAGCAATTATTTTTATTAAAAAAAAAACAAAAAAAAAAACAGTAGAGCATAATATTATAATTAATTACACAGAAATTTCAAAACTATGTTTCAAAACTGAAACTAAAGTTATAAATTTAATTATAAAAATTAAACTTAAAATCCAGTGATTTGTTCTATTGCCAAATGATGCTATGAATAGCTTTCTAAGAAATTTACTTAATTTATAAGTGCAGACAATCTTAGCATTTTGAGTTGTTATGGTTAAGGAAAATTCAATCTATTTTGATTAGAGGTTTATGGGTTTTGATTTCCCTAGACAACTTATGTATCAAATATATGTTACTTACAAAGTCAGGTTAAGTTTAGGTGGGATGTGGTTGCCTGCTCACAAACATAGACATCCGTTATTCAGCGTGTCGTCTGGGCTTTCAGTGACAAAAAAATTTGGGCATTTTTATTTATCTGCTTAATTGATATTTTTATACACAAAGATTTTCTAAAAGGGTTATTAAAATATGAGTAAGTCATATTTTTAATATTTAAATTTTATTCCTACAGATTTAAGGTACCATTCCTCCTTCTAATAACTAATAGACTATACAGTATTTTTTACAAATAAATATATTAGAATTTAATTACAAATTAATGATCAAGTATAAATATGTATGTTGCATCTCTTTTCTTTTCTAAAATTAATTATTATTTAAGGAAAATATTTGACAGTATCTACAAAAAAATAGCTATTCTATTTCTTTGATTTAGTAAATTTTTATTTTTCATAAACTTAATAATGTATAATTTTTCATGTATGCACAAAGGACAAGAGTCATTTAATGACCTACAAGTTCCAGTTTTTCTTATTAATTTCCATTTTACCATTGGTGTTTTATTGGTTTCTTTTAAGTGCCAGAAATATTTACAGAGGATGATTGATTTTGGTATTTATTTTATTAAAGGATGTTTGATGTTGGTTCCACCTTCTTTTGAATTCATTCCCTGTGCATACAATGTAGAATTTAACCATGTCTGGATCTTCAATAGATGAGATATCGCACTGATAAACTACAGATTCAATACAGAATTTATTATTAAGAGGACAGTTTTGAGGATTTCTAGTTACATAATTTTTATTTATCTTCATATTTTTTTATTTTAGGATCTATTTTGATTTTTGTATAAGTGTTTATTCATGATATTAGCATTATATTTCTTAATAATCATTTCTAAGTTTTCAGCTTCAACTGTAACTTAATTTTAGGGTATTTTATTAAAAATTGTACTTAGTTTACTATCTCTTGGAAAATGTTTATCAATTAATGCAAGGAATTTTTGTCCTAACTTATTTCTTACCATTTGGTTTTATGGGGTTGTATACCAAATGAATTTTCTATTTCTATCTTTTCTATGGTGTCCATTTTCATTTTTTATATAATTATGTTTTTGGCATTTATACCCACTATTCTTTAGAGCATTATTATAGAAATTACTATATTCATAGAATATTTTCTCATTTCCTGAATTTGTACTTATTCTTTTTTTTGATAGATGAAGGATGATTAGACTTAGGGTGTATATACAAAGGATTAGTATTGGGCTTTTTGTAAGGGAGGTATATATTATTCATTAAATCTAGTGTTATACCAAGGAAGTTAACTATTTTAGTATTTACAGTAATTTTCAAGTTTAGGCATTTAAGTTCTCTAAGTAATAGTTTTCTAATTTTATCAATTTTAAAGTCAAAGAATTCCTTACAACCATAAGGCCATCATCTCTGTACAATCCAATGTTATTTATACTAATTTCATGATATACAGTAAGATTATATAATATAAAAAGACCAATAAGGTCAGAGAACTCTGCAGAGTCCAATAATCCCATTGCAATGTCAATGTGGTCATTAGAGTTTTTAATCCATTGTTCACCATTATGAATGAGTACCAATTTTTTTCCATTATTTGGACTATTGTCCTCATCTTTGTCACCATATTTATCACAACGTTTCGGCCGTTGTACACTCCGGCCTTCTTCAGGTAGTTGAAATTTCGAACTGAACCCTTTATTTCGCTCACTTGGGTAGACTGTTCTAGTTCCACGTGCCATGTTTGATGGATGTAATAATGTAAATAATGTACATAATACCTCATCTCAGAAATATAGACAGACTCAATTTTTTTGCATTCATAATTATGTTTTTCTCTAGATCTGCTATGTCTGAGTATTGGGTAGCAAAATCCATAGCATTTTTAAAAAGTTCCTTTGATATTGATTGGTAGTATTTCTCAATATCAAACTGTATTAGTGTACAATTTGGTTTCTCCTTGATATTAGTAAACCAATTAGTAACTTTATTATTTACATTATTCAGACTATTGTCCTCATCTTTGTTGCCATATTTATTACAACATTTCGGCCATTGTACGCTCCGGCCTTCTTCAGGTGGTTGGAATGTTGAACTGAACCCTTTATTATTTGTTATTGATCAAAAATTTTAATCCTTGGTAATCCATTATTTGTTGGTTGACCCTTTCTAGGATTTTCTTACTAATTCTGCCGATTTCAGGTTGGGTTGGGTTGGGTTGATAATTCTTGTAGTCGGATTAGCTTCAAAATCAGGTTTGTGGTCCTTTATGGTTATTTAGCACTCTTTTTTGGTAAGTTTACCTAACCTATCATTAATATTCAATTTATCTGTGATATTTTTATTACTAATATTAATGTTTTCCACCATATTTACATAATTGTTATTAACCTTTTTATAGTTCTTATTTAAATCTTTTTTAATTAGGTTGTTGTAGTCCATTGCTGTTAATTTATAAAAATTTCTGGTTTTATCTGATTTCATTAAAATTTTATCTGTTGCACTATCTTTCACTATCTTGTCCAGACATTTTTGGAAATAGTTTTTCCTTTCATGGAAAGTTATATCATTTATTATTTCCAGTAAATCATTTTCAAATTCAGACAATTTTTGAATGAACAGTGCTGTTTTCTTACTGTTAAAACCATATACTTCAGATTTGATTGATAAGTTATTCTGCCGAAGGAAAAACGATGCTCTCCATCTCATCCTTCATATAAGTTCCTCTGTTTTTTGAATTCATGTTAATAATTCCTTTTGTTGATATTTAAAATGTTCTTCAGAGAAATTCCAAAATTTATTATTTCCATATTTTTATGATTTTTATTTAAAAATACAGATTAAGAATGCTCGACCTTAATTGGGAGCCAATGTACATATATTAAAATAGTAAGAAAGAACAGTAAGATTTATAATCTGATGTTCTTAGCAATAAATTTTATTTAAAAAAAAACAGTGCTCGATAAAAAAGTAGAGCAAAACTGTCCTCTTAATAATAAATTCTGTATTGAATCTGTAGTTTATCAGTGCGATATCTCATCTATTGAAGATCCAGACATGGTTAAATTCTACATTGTATGCACAGGGAATGAATTCAAAAGAAGGTGGAACCAACATCAAACATCCTTTAATAAAATAAATACCAAAATCAATCATCCTCTGTAAATATTTCTGGCACTTAAAAGAAACCAATAAAACACCAATGGTAAAATGGAAATTAATAAGAAAAACTGGAACTTGTAGGTCATTAAATGACTCTTGTCCTTTGTGCATACATGAAAAATTATACATTATTAAGTTTATGAAAAATAAAATTTACTAAATCAAAGAAATAGAATAGCTATTTTTTGTAGATACTGTCAAATATTTTCCTTAAATAATAATTAATTTTAGAAAAGAAAAGAGATGCAACATACATATTTATACTTGATCATTAATTTGTAATTAAATTCTAATATATTTATTTGTAAAAAATACTGTATAGTCTATTAGTTATTAGAAGGAGGAATGGTACCTTAAATCTGTAGGAATAAAATTTAAATATTAAAAATATGACTAAATTATATTTAAATGACCCTTTTAGAAAATCTTTGTGTATAAAAATATTAATTAAGCAGATAAATAAAAATGCCCAAATTTTTTTTCATTGAAAACCCAGACAACACTGAATAACGGATGTCTATGTTTGTGAGCAGGCAACCACATCCCACCTAAACTTAACCTGACTTTGTAAGTAACATATATTTGATACATATGTTGTCTAGGGAAATCAAAACCCATAAACCTCTAATCAAAATAGATTGAATTTTCCTTAACCATAACAACTCAAAAGGCTAAGATTGTCTGCACTTATAAATTAAGTAAATTTCTTAGAAAGTTATTCATAGCATCATTTGGCAATAGAACAAATCACTGGATTTTAAGTTTAATTTTTATAATTAAATTTATAACTTTAGTTTCAGTTTTGAAATTTCTGTGTAGTGATGGAATCATATTTTTAAAAAAGAAAATAATTATAATATATATATATATATATACACACACTAAAACCTGAATCTATAGATATTAAAATGTGGTGATATATATACACATGCTTTTATAATTATCAAATAAGCTTATTCTAGTCTGTTGTAATAAATGTACACATAATCATGATTAAATCAAGATGGTACACCTAATTATAATCAAAGCAAGGTATACATAATCATGACCAAAGTTAGGTACTCCTAATTATGATCAAATCAAGGTACACCTAATCATGACTAAAGCAAGGTATACCCAGTCATGATCAAACCAAGTTATACCTAATTATGACAAAATCAAGGAGGTACACCTAATCATAATCCAGTCAAGGTACACCCAATCCTGATCAAATTCACTACTAATGGTTCATAAGATATACTTTAATATGTTTAATAACCATTGCCAAACACTCTTATATATCTATGCTTTTATATGTGGATGTCTATATCTTCCACTGATTAAAAGCACACTCAAATATGAAAATCAATTTCTCTCAGACGACATCATATAAACTAGTGTAATAGATTATAGCATATATTTCCCAGATTTTAAAATATCCAAATTTTCTTCAATGGATAATTTAAGATTGATGCTAATGAAACTGGTATAAGAAACTTACTTTGAGAAGTTGTTGAGCAGTGTAGAAAGCTGCTGGCCCACTGCCCACAATTCCTATGTGAGCATTAAGAGCAGAACAGTAATTTCGGTATTGTGAATGTCGCCAAATACACCAAAATGGTCGGAAGAGATCTTTCGTGATCATCCTGAAATAAAAACAGGAAATGTGCCAAAGCTATAAAGGTATCTTGCTCCTGTCCAAAAAAAAAATAATTTTCAAGAATAACTTTCAAAGTAAATATTTGCTTACATATAACATCCGTCTGTAATAAAATATCTGTTGAGGTATATTTGTTAAACTTATGAATATTAATTCAAGATACTTTCAGACTGTAGTTACAAATCCAGTAGTTATGACTTTTACCAAAAAAAAGAAGAGTTAAAAAAAAAAATAATGTTAAAGTGATGAAGACAATTATAGTTGTCTCCCATTCAAACTACTTGACTATAAAAGAAATGGTCAGACCTCAATTATGTCATTGAATAAAGCTTCAACACAAGCTTAAACATTCATTTGCTTTTCTTTACAGTTGATAATAATTTTTTTCACAAATGTGGAAAGAAAGAGATGTAAGTTTAAAAAAAATTACAATGGATTCAAATCGTTTATTGGTCATGTGGTAGAAATTTCCATCTTTGTTAATTTCCTTCAGTTTCACAGAATTAAATACAGAAAATAATGTCTAAAAGATGAGAAAGATTATTATTTTGAAAAAGATACTTTCCAGAAGCTAAGAAAAGTATTAACAAATAAGAAAATTTAATTGTAAAGAAAAGAGTGCTAATTGTTATGTAATATTGGTCCTCCTACATGACAGTGAATGTTGGATAATTTCCTCACAGAAGAAGAGACTTGAAGCAACAGAGATATGGTTCTATGGGAGTATACTGAGAATACCATGGATTAAACATGTAATGAGGAATTTTAAAGGAAAATGGAAACAAAAAGGACATTTATACATAGAATCAGAAAGCATCAATTGAAATTTCTAGGACACACAATGAGGAAAGATTGCTTGGAGAATTAGATATTCACAGGACATAATAAAGGCAAGAAAGGAGAAAAAGCTAATTATATTTAAACATAATGAGCAATCCTTGTGCTTACAGGAGGATGACTGGGAGGACTTGATATAAATTGATTCTAAAATCATAAGGTGAAAATCAGTGGTCATCAGATGATACACCCAGAAAACTATTTGATGGTATATAAGAATCGCCAATCTTTTTTTCTTTTTAAATAATTAAAAAATATCTTCTAAGTCTTAAATGCTTACCCAGATATTGCAGACTACCAGTAATTTTAAGTAGCTTAACTATAATTTTTTAAAGAGGCAATCATATGTAGTCTTGGCGAAGTACATTCAAAACAACCATTGAAAGGATTATAGAGTTCACAATTAACTGTGGTGTGAGGTCAAATTTTCACAATTTTGACTGTAGTTGATGAAATAGGCATGTAATATTTCTATATAGCATGAAAAAGGTGGAGACATGATGAAATTAACAGTCAATAAAAAGAAAAAGGCAGTGTTTTCTTTTTTCTTGACAGTTAATTCAAAATATGTCTGCTTCATGTGATATTTATGTTTTCTACTGTTAAGAAATTATTTAAATAAGACTTCTGTCATGCATTTATATCTGTAAATTCTCAGAAGACTCTGGCATTGCTGTCTGATACAAGTTGGCACTGAAAATTGGTTGCTGAAATTGTAGCCTGTACTGTTGTTTTACTGCAGTAATGAGATTTTAATACCAGGCTTCTTCAAACTTTTAAGAGGCTCGATGAACTTTGGCTTACCTCTGTCAACAATTCCATCATTCTTTTCCAGCTCATTTGTTTTGATCTTACAACACTGAAACTTGTTTCTGATAGTATCTTTGTAGCACTTATTTTTTGGTTGGACTTTTGCCACATATTAACTTTCTATACACAAAACATCTTGGCATATAAGTATCATATCCTGCCACCAGAATTTAGCACTGATAAGATTTGACAGATTTGACATTATTGAAGTCAGCATAGTTCAGGGCTTCAAGGTTGATAAACTGTCAGTTGTATGCAACGACTTCCTAAGATCTGGAAAAAGGTTTTGAGTGAAGCCTGAGGCCTTTGATAAAGATCACACCTCTTTGAACATTGTGTACTGGTACTAAAGATTTATGAACAAAGAACTGTAGTCTATAATAGAAACCACATCACTTCAGAACTACTGTCATGTATTCATCTGTGAATTCTCAGAAGACTCTGGCACTGCTGTCCGATAGTGTCAGCACTGAAAATTGGTTGTGGAAATTGCAGCCTGTGTTATTCTATAGTGATGTTTTTCTGCAGTGTTGAGTTTTTGATACTACGCATCCTCAAACTTTTAAGAGGTTTGATGAACTTTGGCTTACTTCTGTGAATGGTTCCATCACACTTTTTATACGTTGATGTGATCCTGCCATGCTTGGTACAGGGTCTACTATTCATATTGATAGAGAAATAGTAAAAAGGCCCATTGCATTGTACACTTTCAGTTTTGTTGGAAAGTATATGTTGCACTAGTTGAGCAAAGTTTAAGTTTACTTTGGTGATTTGAGTATCAGTTTTTCTGATCAAGTGGTTATTGTAAGAGATATTTTTTCCAAAATACTTGAAACTCTTTTTTGACTTTTGAAAGTTGGGTACTATCTATTGAGATAGCTGGTGTTGAATGATTGGTATTTAATGCAGGTTTCTAGAACATTTCTGTTTTTCCACATCTAATTATCTTTTCAGCATTAAAGAACTGATTGAGCATCAGCTGCAATTTTGATTCATCATGAAACAGTCATCTTCAAAAAGAACTTCTTGGAGATCTTAGATGATTTTTGTCTTGGCAGTGAGGCAACAAAAGTCAATAGAGCTGAATGTACACCTCCTTCTCCAGACCATAGAATGTATGTAATAGCACACATTTGAAAAGGTTTAAGTGAATTGGGACTAATAGAATGTCCTACTTCCCACTATTGTGCAAAGTTTAAATTCCAGTTGAGTTCATTACATTCATTTATATGCAAATACTCTTGGGAAAGTTATAAATCCAACTCTTTATCTGTGCCAAATAATTATCTCTAAGGAATTGTTAATACAATATTCATTTACAAAAAAAGAATTATTCTAACAATTCAAAAATATGTTTTGGCTTTAAATAACCTACAAAAGGTTGATAATCCATAAAAAACAAATCAATCTCAATAATAGAGGGTGGCAAACCAAGTTCTTATTGAACTAACTGCTGGATGGTTCCTGTTGTCTGCTCAAGAGTCTACTGTTGAGAATGTTGATAAAATGGTCTGCTCAGCATTCTCTTCATCCAGCTTAGTCTTTGATCAGGGATTTGCTGTAAGGAGACAACAGTAGGGAGCTGCCTGATATTAGATTGGGCCAGGCAATACCTTCAAGAAGATAAAGAACTTCATGACATTGTGAGAGTTAGTATAGTTTTGAACTTTTCCTGCTAACACTCTTTCAATTTTTTATTGTGCTTTTACTTGAAGTTTCTTAAACTTCTTTTTGTAAGTTGATGATGCATCAATCTGTCAAACAATGTAAGCTTCCAGTCAGCAGAGACACTTGTTTTAACTCTCTGTTTTCATTAAGCTAATCTATAAAATTTTTAGCTTTGAGACATAACAGCACTTTAGTGGTCTCAATGTTCCTGAATATGACCTGTTTCTAAAAGCTGTCTCTAAAATAAGTCAAGCTATATTGAAACTTCTCATCCAGTATACATTGGAATTGCATCAGGTAAAATGGGTTCTTCAACCTGGCTGTGTTGCTGGAATCCCTAACAGTCTTGGGTTGGTTGCCATATGATAGTAGGATGTGCACACTAATTTTTGCCCATACCAGTCTGTAATAAGTCCAGCATTCAGCACCTCTCATCATATGAGTTACTCAAATGTCAATAATGTCCTATTAATGTATTTGTTTTTACTACTGGTATAGTCTCTTCCTATACTTGCATTAAAATTTTCAAATAAGATAACAAATTTGTCATTTTCTGGGATTATCTTGATTACTTAATCAAAATGTTCATAGAATTATTCTTTGGTTCCATCCAAACTTGTAGAATTATTTTTTTTGCTATCCAATCATTAAATACTTATTATGGTGAGGTATCTGATTTTGTTGATGGGAACAAATAATTTCATAAGGCATTCATTTATCTCAATTGAGAACATACGCACATTCCACTATTTTCTGTCTTCTTAATTCTTGTTCTTTTATTGTTCTCTCTCCTTAATAATGTTTTGCATAAATATTCTCTCATACTCAGTAACCCCTTGCATCTTAGTAGCTTCCTCTCAAGCATGGCTATAAGCCTTGCTTGGGGTGAAATGATTAAAAATATACCTTGAGATGAATTATTTGGCTAGGCACCTTTTCTGGCCCTTTTCTCTGTTTGAAGGTAGGTAGTAATAACATAAAAAACAAACTGATTTCAAATTGAAATAAAATTATTTATCTCATAATAGCCTTTAAAATATTTTTTATTTATAAATAATTATGTGATATCAATAGAAATATTTTGCTGTGATTAGCAGGCTAGTCATGTAAGCTATTGTTAATGTGTTTATTTTTCTCATGGTGTTCTATTATTGTGACCTTGGGATAAACTTAGCTAAGCTTAATTATTTGTGATGGCTGCAATCTTAAGTAAAGAACACTGATATAAGTTTCAAATACTTATTAAACCCAATGAAATACACACTCTGGAGTTGGTATTATGGAATCATCTGGATAATATTATCTACTAAGCTCAAAAATGAAAATTTCATGTGATTCTTCCATTAATAAAGCAGGAAATTGTCAAGAGAGACTATAGTATTTCAGGCAATTGCAAAATCAGACTGAAGAGCTCACTCATAAAAATCAATCATCCAATGTCTTTATAAGCTACAAGCAATTACTGTAGGCTGAAGAATTCAGTTTATAGAAATAAGATACTTCTATGAAATCCTATGCCAAATCGTCTAACGTTGAGGAAAACAAAAACAATAGATCTACTGAATATTTTGTTGGACTACTGAAGCATGCATTCAAAAATTGTTGGGATGCTGGATCAAAGCCCAAGAAATGAGAAAAGTATGTCTTGATCAAAAGCAGTTAAAAAAATAA